GCAGATCAACAACCGGAGCTCCGAGCAGCCAGATCGCATCAAAGCAACTTGACCACAGATTGACCCAGTGTCCAGATTTCTGCGTTTGAGCATTTCTGATTGGTGTGAACGCAGCATTAGGCAGCAGTGATTCTATCCTTCAGCTTGGTTTCTGATCGGAGAAGCAGATCCTGACCCAGAACCAGTCGACGGTCTTTATTAGCCTTCCTGTGTTTAACGCCGGCAGCAGAGGTGCTTACCTGAGTCTATAGTCAAGTTGACGAACCGGACGAGACTGGTCCAAATGACGGCTAACAGCGGCTCTGTGGAAGAACAAGGGTATCTGTTAGCATGCAGGAAGTCTTTATGAGGTTTGCCTCCAGGCTTTATCAGGACTGGAAGTGGCTTCCAGTTAGCTTAGCGACCAGACTGGTCTGGAAGCAGAGCTCTGCTGCTCTGAAAACAAGAAACTGAAGCGTCAGACACCGTTTTAAATACTGACAACTTAAGAGACGCACTGATTCCAACATCCGAATCAGATTTCAGCGCTGATGCGAACTAATGGAAATGTTTACAATTTTTTAAAATAATTTTCATATTATTCGTGCTCTAAGTGTGTCGCTCTGTCAGCTAAAGGCATGTTTTACAGTCTTTATATTCCACTTAACTAAATCAGTTGACAATTATTTCAATAATTGATTCATCTGATCAATCGTTTCAGCCCTAATTCAGTGTTTAACATAATATTTATGAATGAAAGTATCTTATTTTCTGCTGTAAATCCATTTGATTTGCTTTATATCCAAATTGACTCAGACAAACTTTATTGTCATTTTGTACACAGGGTGTAAACGAAACAGAATGTCATTCAGTACAGCTCTCAATACATTTCCATTTCTTAAGGTGCAGCAGGGATTAAATGTAAACATTAGACTGGTATATGATTTACAGTTTTCCATTTTACTTTTATCATGTTAAAATATTTTATGTGTTTTTGTGTGAATGTGTGTGAAAGGGGACAAATAAAAGCTACAGAACTGAACATCCATCGACACAACTAGTAGCTAGTTTCTACTTTGTCTTGGAGATAAATCAGAAAAAGATAAATAAAAAAAAAAAGGTATCCGTAAACTTCCATAAAATTGATGAATCAGGAAACTGAGTTTAAAATAAAGGAAAAGTCGGCGCCCTGAGCGGATCCAGATCCAGATCCAGCAGAGGCTGATGATCCAGTAGGTAGAATTTACCTGGAGCCTCTTTGCCAACGGCGGTGAAGCCGTCTCTGATGTTGGAGAGGAGCACGGCGGCGTGTTTCATGAAGGATGGAGCGCCAGAGAGGAGCGGATGATTCAGAGGTTCTGGAAACAACAAAACTTTCACGTTAGGAAACTCCCTGATCCAATCGGGCGACCCGACTGTTTAAGGAAGAGCTACATCTAGGAAAGACTGTCTAACTTTATGGTTTCTGGGCAGAAAAATGACTAAACTGGACAGAAGCTGGAAGATTGAACATCAACTAGATGAGAAACTGGATATTTTCTATGACAATAATGACTCCAGACTTGGTCAGACCCCCCGACTGATGGCAGACGGCGGGTGTGCGTCTTTCACCCACCTAGATTTAACATAATCTTGTTCTTTGCTGCAGCAGCAACGACCTCCGGTCCCAGGAAGTAGTGGAGCAGCATCTCCAGGCCCAGCAGCTGAATGGAGGAGAAGCAGGAGGAAGCCTGCATGCTGGAGTTCAGGCTCATCGATAGCGTGCCGACCGAAGCGTTCAGGGAGACGTTGCCTGAGGAGACCGGGAAAACTCTTAATCTGAGCGTTAATCTGTGCAGCAGCCAGCGAGTCCGTCTGGACGGAGGAGCAAACCTGATTTCGGGGTGCTGGGCGCCACGGCTCCGTTTTGAGCGACGGGTCTAGAAGGAGTGTTTGGAACGGCGGACGAATCGGACCTGATGGTGGACTGGAGCAGAGGCGCCGCGACCTGCAGAGGATCAGAGTGTCAGCCTGCGTGGAGGAGCGCTGAGGATCAGCAGCAGCGGCGTGACGGAGCCGCTCCTCACCTGCTCAAAGTTGGGGGACAGGTTGGGTCCCAGCTGCACTATCAGATACCACCAGACCTCCACCTTGGTGAGCAGCAGGGCCTCCGTTCTCACCTGGATGGAGATGAGCGGCTGCATGAGCAGCTTCATTCGTTTGGAGTTGCTCAGGATATCTGGAGGAGATTCACAGGGAGGTCAAAACCAGGAGAGCAACGGGAGGGAGGGAGGAAAACGGATCTATGAGGAAAACGGATCTATGAGGAAAACGGAT